AAATGAATAATTTTTATTAATACGGAGGAGATGGATTGTTTAAGTTTAGAGTTTGGAGTTAGAGATATTAATATTTGTTTACTTGTATTTGAATATTAGCCTAGGTTTGGTTTGGGAAGTCCGGGGGGTGGGGGGATGGGATATAACATTGTGTAATATCTGTGATGTATTTCTTTTTCTTTTATGATGAAAACAATAACATTTTATATTGAGAAAAAAAAAATTCTGATCACAATTACACAGAAAAAAGAGCACAGAGAAGAGCAACAAATATGATAAGGGATTTGTAGGATAAATGATACAAGGAACGTTTAAGAGAACTAAGTATGTCTAGCCTAAGGAAAAGAATTAGAGGTGACATGATAGCTGTATTCCGGTACATGAGGGGCTGCCACAGAAAGGTGGGGGTCGACTTATTCTCCAAAGCTCCTGAGGGTAGGACAAAAGCAGTGGGTGGAAGCTCATTGAAGAGATATCCAACTTGGAACTAAGGAGAGCTTTTTGACAATGAGAGCAATTAACCAATGGAACAGCTTGCCTCCTGAAGTTGTGGTTGCATCATCGTTGGAGGTTTTCTAGAAAAGATTGGACAATCGTTTGTCCTGGATGATATAAGGTCTGCTGCCATGGGCAGGGAATTGGACTAGAAGACCTCCAAGGTCCCTTCCAGCTCTATGACTCTAAGATTCTAAGTGAAGTGAAGGAAAACTGAAATAGTTTATCAATTTTAGAGCAGCTCTTTCACTGAGTATGAAAAGTAGCAAAGTAGGTGATACCATAAAACAGGGCCCAACTTTGACAACCATTTGCCTCTGATTCTTAGTTCCAACAATATATTGATGATGGGTTCTTTTTTCTTTGTGCTTTTTAGAATCCGGACAATCAGACAATTCAAACCAGCAAGGAGATGCGGACATTAAACCACTGCCCAATGGTGAGTGAATCACTGCTCAAAGTTCGATTCCATGCTCAACATTCTTATATTCCATTTTGAATTTCATTGAAGCCCTTTTCCACCTTTCCCTCCAATATCTGTTTCTGGGCTCAGGTGAGGATGAGTAGAGAATAATCAGGAGTCACAGATCTTTGTAATTTGATATGGAATTCTTGAGAAATAAATGTAGGGGCAAGCAAGGTAGTATTTGTAATCTTAGAGTGGGAGTAAATATGCAGATTTGAAATCAGGAACTAGCCTTGAATTAAAACCGATAAAGAGCAGGAAGAATGGGATTCAAAGTTGAGATTAAGATACAACTCACAAAAGATACAAAAGACAGAACTAGAATTTCTTTCTATCCAGCCACAGAATAGCAAGCCATTCCCAGTCTCCAATTGCTATAGCCTTTCATATTCTACTCCCGTGGTGGTGAACCTATAGCATGCATGCCAGACAGGGCACACAGAGCCCTTTCTGTCGGCACGCACGCCAGAGGGATGCTCCCCCCCACATGCGCCTGACTAGTGGGAACTGGAGAGGGCAGGGAAACCGAATCCAGCAGTGCTCTCATAGGAACAGCTGTGAAAGCTGGGCGGGGAGAGGGGAACCTATAAAAGCAGGTTTTGATGGGAGTGCAGCGAGAGAGTCTGTGAGTGAGCAGACGGCCTTTGGAAGCGATGGTGGGCGTGAGTTGCAGAAGACAAGTAGGATGTGGTGTCTGTTTGCGCTTTGCAGAAGGCTAGCGGGGGAAGGAGGACACGTAAGTTTGGACTTTGGAGAAAGGGAAGGGGAAAGAAGAAGGGGAGGGGGAAGTAAGGAAGGAAAGAAGGAAGGAAGGAAGGAAGGAAGGAAGGAAGGAAGGAAGGAAGGAAGGAAAGTTGGGCCCACCAGTGCCACTGGACAAATGCACAACCAGGCCTGCCCAGGTGACGCCGAAGCCAGCCAGCCCTTCTGTAGGAGCACGGGGGGAGAGGGGGAGAGCGGTTACCCCTGAGCACCATGCCTGCCTCCCTTCGGGCTCCCTCGGCCTCTCCCTCCCTCCAAGCCAAGGCTGGTCAAATTCCCCCCGTGGGCAGCACTGCGCCTGTCCCCGGCCAGCCCTCCTCCTCCATCCTCCTCCTCCTTCTGTGGGCAGACCACGGCTTACCGAGCTGGGCAGTGCCTCTTCCCGCACACGTCCTCAGGCGGAGGAGCTGGGCAGCCGCGGCTCTTGCTCCCCTCCGGCCTCCATCTGCACGAGGCCCGAGCTCAGTGCACCCGCCTGGCTGGCAACAGGCTGGAGAGCGCTGGACTGCAGCAGCTGCCCGGGGATGAGCGGTAGGTGGCTCCACACCCACCCCGATGTCCGCAGGGGAAGAAGCGGCAAGGAGGCTCCACACCCAGCCCAGCCCAGCCCTGGCACGGCAAGCGAGGCAGCAGCCTCAAGTGCATCCCCGAGCGTGCCCCTGCCCTGCCAGGCAAGCAGAGTCAAGGCATCTGCGGCAGAAGAGTGCAGGCGGGCAGTGGAAGGCACGAAGAGCCCCGATCCCAGCACAGCCCCTCTCCACTCTCCTCCCCCCCTTGGAAGAGCTGCAGGGCTCAGGACCCTCCCCCCATGTCCCCCACCCCCCAGGGAAGAAAACCATCGCAAGACATTCTTCTGTTTTAACTTTTTTTCCTTGTCACTTTTTGGAGTTTTTATCCTGCTTTCGTGAGACGGAAGCATTTGGGAGGGAGTGTAGCTGCCTCCTTCCCCCCCAAGCCATCAGCTGAGCAGGACACCCTCCTGCCCACTGCCCCACCCTCCAGAGACCCCCTGGATCTCCCCCAACCCTGCCTGGCCCCCACAAGCATCACTCCCCAGGAGTAACATTGAGCTGGCCACACCCACCCTGGCCACATCCACCCAGTCTGCAATGACCACCGTAGCCACGCCCACCCAGTGGGCCACGCCCACCCGGCACCCGGCGATACATAAGTGGGTTTTGGGTTGCAGTTTGGGCACTCAGTCTCTAAAAGGTTCGCCACCACTCATGACCCAGTCTGTGTCTGCCTTCTTCTCTTTGCAGGGCATTTGACTTTCCAGGACTGTTTTGTGACTTCAGGCGTTTGGAATGTTACAGAGCTGGTGAGAGTGTCACAGAGTAAGTTAAGGCAACTGAAACTGCAGGATTGGTGTGGTGATTATAAGGTGATGAGACTCGGGGATGCACATGTCTTCTTCGGGGCATCTTCTCAGGTTGTAAAATTGCTGAGAACAAGATAGGGAGAGCTGTGATTATGGCTGTACTGGCTCTCAAGTGCTTCTAATGAAATTGGTGTGTGTCTATTTAGATAGATGTCTTCCAAATGCATACCCCTTGCAAGGAATTCTGAATTCATTAGCATTTCTTTTAGAATTACTACTGGTTTCTCCCTCCCATCACTTAGTTCTTAGTACATTAATAAATAGTACATTTTGAACAAAGAAGGAACTTCCTGACTTGTCAAGGAGTTGGTGTGAACATGGAGGCTCTTTTCAGGTTACTTTTGGACAAAACCTTTATGGGGTAGGAGGGACATCTAGACTGTCATTTTCCTGCATTTTTCCATTCTTTCTCCTGTTAAGGAGCAAAGGATGGAATAGCCGCACAGTGAATTTTTATTGAAAGAGAGATACTTGGAAAATTTGCAAAGTCTTCTCTTCCATCAAACAATCTCTTTTTCTCTGTGATCTAACATGAATATTAAAATTACTTCCTGACAGAAATATTCAGATATGTAGAATCAATAGAGGTGGATGCTGCAGTACAAATGGCAACTGCATGCTGACCCCTGCTCTGAGAGCAATGAACTGAATCAACCCCACCTTTAAGCATATCAATTGTTCCTAAGAATTTGTTTGTAGACTACCTTTCTCAGCAAAGAATGCTGAGTGATGTAAGCTTAATAAACTGCAGGAAAGTTACCTCAAATAAAAGGAACACTTTAACACCGAAAGTTTTGTATCCAGAGAAAGAGTTCAGGAAATTGTATCTTTGCTGTACTGAACATAATTCTTCAATTGATCCATCTAAAATTCTAATTTCGTGGGTCTAACTCTAATTGATTTAAAGAAATATTCAGTCTCCAAACCAATATTTGCTGACTTATTTTAAATGGCAGAGTAAGATCCCAAAAATGATATATCTTCATTTTTTATGAAGATACTGTATCTCTAGATACTTGGAAGTCATGCTCTGTTTTACTTTCTAACACTTCTTAATTTGTTTATGTATGTGTTTTTTCTTGAGTTTATATAACTGAGAAAGTAAAATCCAGCCTTTTCCTATTGCTTCTGAATGAGGGTTTCTGAAGATTGTGAGGACCACAATGGATAGGTTAATGATGCACAGTAGAGGACATATCTTTTACATAAGCAGGCTCCACACTCTGTATTTTCCTGTTTCTTGTTTGTTAGTTTGTTTGGAGTGGTGATGGAACTATTGGGGAGTTATGTTAAGCCTATTTTATATATAAATCACCAGGATCTGACAGATTTCATCCCAAGGTTCTGAAGAAGCTAGCAGATGTTATCTCAGAACCATTGCACCATATCTTTCAAAAATCCTGGAGCACCGGGGAAGTACCTGAGGATTGGAAAAGGGCTGATGTGGTTCCCATATTCAAGAAAGGGGGGAAAAACAGACCCAGGAAACTACAGACCAATCAGTCTAACATCAATACCTGGGAAGATCCTGGAAAAGATAATCAAAAAACAGATCTGCAAACAACTAGAAGCAAACAAAGTAATAACTGGTAGCCAGCACAGGTTTGTTAAAAACAGATCATGCCAAACCAATCTTATTTCATTCTTTGATAAAGTGACCAAATTAGTAGACCAGCGAAACGTTGTGGACATAGTATACTTAGATTTCAGTAAGGCATTCGACAATGTAGACCACAATCTACTGCTTGGTAAGCTAGAAAAAGGTGGAATAGACAACATCACCACCAGATGGATTTGTAGTTGGCTGACAAACCGTACTCAATGAGTAGTCCTCAATGATACTACATCCACATGGAGAGAAGTAAGCAGTGGGGTACCACAAGGCTCCGTCTTAGGCCCAGTATTCTTCAATATCTACATAAATGATTTAGATGAGGGAATAGAAGGGGAACTCATCAAATTTGCAGATGACACTAAACTGGCAGGAATAGCCAACACCCCAGAATAGAAGCTCAAGATTCAAAACTAGACAAACTGGAACAATGGGCCCTATCCAACAAAATTAGTTTTAATGTGGAAAAAAGCAAAGTTTTACATTTAGGCAGGAAAAATCAAAGGTACAAGTACAGATTAGGCGAGATCTGGCTCAAAAACAGCAACTGTGAGAGGGACCTTGGAGTCCTAGTGGACGATCACTTGACTATGAGCCAGCAATGTGCAGTACCAACCAAAAAAGCTAATACAATCCTGGGCTGTATAAACAGAAGCATAGAATCAAGATCATGCAAAGTATTAATACCACTTTATAAAACCCTAGTAAGACCACACCTGGAATACTGCAACCAGTTTTGGTCACCATACTACAGAAAAGACTTTGAGACCTTGGAAAAAATTCAGAGAAGAGCAACTAAGATGATACAAGGCCTGGAGACTAAAACATATAAGAATAGCTGCAGGACTTGGGTTTCGCTAGCCTAAAGAAAAAAAGAAATAGGGGTGACAAGATAGCAGTGTTCCAGTATTTGGGGAGCTGCCACAAAAAAGAGGGCATCAAACTATTCTCCAAAGTACCAGAAGGCACGACAAGAAACAATGGTTGGAAATTGACCAAAGAGAGAAGCAACCTGGAATTAAGGAGAAACTTCCTAACAGTGAGGACAATTAACCAGTGGAACAGCTTGCCTTCAGAAATCATATGTGTTCCATCACTGGAGATTTTTAAGAAGAGGCTAGACAGTCACTTCTCTGAGATGGTATAGGTTCTCCTACTTGAGCGGGGGGCTGGACTAGAAGATCTCCAAGGTCCCTTCCAGCTCTATTCTATTCTATGGCTTGCAACATAGCTTCTTTTTTTCACAATCTCAAACTGACATAAGACAATATGATATTAATTTTTAGTAATTATGATCAGAGATTCATTTCTGCCATTGCCAAATCCTAATCCTTTCTTTATTATATACTTTTTGTGCAATAATATATATTGGTACAGAGAGTCCTGTTAGAGAAACTCTGATCTCTTTAAGCAGGGAAGCTCTACTTCTGTGCAAAGAGGAAATTTGTTTTAAAGTCACCTGAAATATTTTCAGATCTCTTGGTTAGTCTGTTTCTTTTTCTTCTCAGGCCGAATGATAGGCCACAATCTCTCTTCTTCCACAGAGTCTCTGTTATGATACCTTAAATGCTGCCTAAATAAAATCCATATTTCACTTTGAAAAAGAAACTTCCCCCCCCCCTTTTTGCCTTGCTTGTTCTGCAACCCAACTATGCTTCTCAGTTACCATTTGAGTTTTCTGACTTTGTTAGCCTTAGGCCTGGGCATAGATTTTCATTTGCTGTTGTTATTTATACTATTTCTATTTAGCCATTTGCTTTAACATGCATTCTAATCTTTTTTAATAAGCTAATTAATTCCCTGCTAGAATTTGTTTGCTAATTTCTTCCAAAATAAATAATTTAAACCCTTGGCTTTTCCCCTCCTTCCCTCTTTCTCTCTCTCTCTCTTTCTCTCTGTATGTAATTATTTACTATTTTTGAAGAGATTGCATTATTGAGTAAATTGAAATGCAATGTTGCCAGTGTTAAGACATCTGAATGTTTATGATCATAATGTGGTCTAAAAGATATGAGTACCGTAGATAAAGTAATCATAGTCAGTTATTTAATTTACTGTGATATTTCCGCCACAATTAAGATTCATTTTCTGTGGAGGCATCAAACTGATTTTGGCCATCTCTATTGATGGATTGAGGTCACAAGGAAGGTACAGCACACAGTAATTGGCAAAAATCAGCAGTACTTGTGCCCAATCCCAATCACTAGGAAGTGCTTCTTCTTCCCTTGAATTTTATCTTCCTGTTTTTGAGAACAAAATTGAAATATGTAAATGGCATGTAGATAGCTCTCCTAATATATTTTAATTGAAATACTGCATTCTGTGGTTATGAAATGGAGGCTAAGATGTTAGCAGGAATGTCTTTACCCAGTTAGCTGTGTCCATTTCTGAAGAATGTAGATTTGTCTAGTAATCAAATGGTTTCGTTTCATCACATCTGTATTATTGCCATACACCCTACTTTAGAAAAGTATTAAGAAACAATAGTTGATCCAGAATACTGTAGCTTCTGGAACTGCACGTATGGGGCAAGTGACTTCCCAACTGAAGCAGTTGTACTATCTAAAGTCCTGAAAGGTTTGAGACCTGGATATCTGGAGACCTGCCATAGGACCTCAAGAGTCTGAAATCCATCTAGGAAAAGAACCTTTCCAGAGGTTATGCCTGGACTTTGAAACTCACGAGAGGCCCACCTTTCTTCACTAATAGTCTTCCAGATCTTAATGTATGATCTTACTAAGGGCATATCAATAAGTTTCAGTGATTTGAATATTTTAAATATTTAAGATAATATATTAACACCATGCTTCTCTATTGTTTATTGTTTATATTTCTATCTTTTTGTAAGCAATTTGGAGCTCTATAGAGAAGGACTGTAAAAATCCACAATTTGATTTATTTGATGCATTCTTCACACTTCCTAATTTAACATCTTTCTTACAGAAGAATGCTTTTACTGTCAACTAGAATTATGCAGGGCCATATATTCAAACTTCCATTACAATCAAATGGAGACACTGAAAGATAACAGAAAAAAACCCTTCCTTCCTTTCTTCCCTCCGTCCCTCCCTTCCCTCCCTCTTTTCCGCTGAAATTACTCTGTAAATTGGGTGATTTTTGCCTGAATCTGCGTACACATGGTACAAATGTGTTTGTAACCAGTTCTCTCTGTGACTGGTCTCTGTGATTGCCTTGTGAAAAAGCATAACTATTGACCTGATAACTATGACCTGGATGACTGAGAATCTCCAAAGACACTCATTTTTCTGTATTATTTCAATTCAATAAACTCAACAGGAAATCAGTTTGATTCTTTGTTTTTCTCATGCTGCCTATCTTCCAGTCTATTGAGTTATTGCCTCTTATCTCTTAGCTCCTGTTGCCACAGCGTCTGGTCCAAACTTCTCTCTGGCTGATCTGGAGAGTCCCAGTTACTACAACATCAATCAAGTAGCTCTTGGTAGACGGTCAATAACATCTCCACCTTCTAGCAGGTAGGTATCCTACCGTCTTTGTGTGGTGCAGAAATCTTTGATTCCATTGAAAGGCCCTTCAAACCAAATGGCATTTCTTGTAGTAATTAGTCCCAACTGTGTGTGGGGGGGGGAGTGTTTGTAAGTATTTTATCCTGTATTTCATTACATTGTTGCTTATGATTTGTGCCTCTGTGTTATGTTTCCATTGTAGTTCCACCAAACGGCCCAAGTCACTAGATGACAGCGAAATGGAGAGTCCAGTAGATGATGTGTTTTATCCTGGGACGGGACGGTCCCCAGCAGCTGGCAGCAGCCAATCCAGTGGTTGGCCCAATGATGTGGATGCAGGTAGGAGGCAATAGTCTTTCCTCATCAGTTAACACAGATTGAGATGGGAAACAAAAGCAAAAGGACTAGTCTGATCTTTGCCCTTCATTTACCATCTCCATTAAGCCTCCACAGATTTAATCCACAATTGCATCTCTTCTTCCAATACAGTGACCATGTTTTCTAGTTAATGCTTTGTTAATGAAGAAAGTATAGGACAAGTGACAATTATACTTGTTTTAGGTCATCTCTATTTGGATTCTACAGACTGGAAGGAGCTGTTTAGGGAAATGGTTCAAACAAGCTGGCATATGGTTGCTTACAACAAATATGAAGCATAGCCTTTTAACAGACATATACACAAATACAGGACTAGGTGAAGTCTGAGTTTAAAATATGGTTACAAAATGAAGTTAAGCCTACACAGACATAGGATTGGGCAAAGATGCCTCATGAGAGAAGGGGTGGATAACTCTCAGTCCAGTATGGATGAGATTTGAAAGCAAGGAGTACATATCTTTCTAATACTAGCAAAAAAAAACAAACCACTAGGCTTGCAATAATGTATAAAGCTCCCTGGCATGAAACCCAGTGAGATAAGGTTGTACTGAAATACTACATAAGCAATGGAACCAATAGTAAATTGTACATATTGTACATATTGAATGAAATTCATGTAGACTTCAAAAGATATGATACAAATCTGCCATGGCCCTTTTTAGTTTTGCAGAATGAAATATCTATATAGCTACCTCAAAAATGCTAGCTTATGAGTATGAATGAGAGCATATTGGCATGTATATATTGGATATGTGCATGACATAATCTTCATGAATAAAGAGAAAGAGGATTTATGTCCAGGGTAAAGAAGTTTGTGTGCAGGATTATGGGAATAAAGAAGTAGCTACATAGTTTGAAGGATTGAACAATGGACTTCAGTGTAAGGCAGGGTCTATACTGGGATTTCTTACAGTGCTGGAAATCAACTGTCCTAATGATTTTCACAGGAATGGATTCTAGCTGTATTGGAATTAGTGGAATAAATAAGAGGGAGGAATAGGATGCTGGTGGCTAGAACAAGCTGACTATTTATGGTCCAGATATATTCCTGGCTTATCTGAAACCTCTCTATCAATTCTGATTAAAGAACTGCAGAAGTAAGCTTGACTACATCTGAGATATAGGAAAGCTGAGTTCTGTTCTGTTCTCCAAGTAAGAAACACGTTATATTTTAATTATTGCATAAAAAATTTGCTGTAAATTTAAACAGTAATTTGCTCTTATTACATTTATTATTCTCTGTTTGGATATTCACCTGTTTGCTTAGTGGGATATTTTCTTTCATTCCAGAAGAAATTATCCTGTATTCTTTAACCAATGTGACTGAAGAAAAATGTTTTAAAAATTCAATCTTCTTCACAAAAACTGATTTGCTTTATTGGAAATACTGTCAGCCCATATAGTAGCCTGTGAGGTGTACTTGTATACAGTTACAGCTTCCATCATTTAAAGTAATCCCCTGTTCAACTGTGTTTTCCAAATACTGTCTTGTCTTATGGGGATTAGATATGCTCAACCAGTAGCCCATTAGGTGTGGGAATTACTGTAAGTCTTGGATGACATAGGAGATGGAAGGAAGATTCTTAATACTGTATTGTCCAGTTTATTACATTTACATCATTTTTATATGCTAACATGCAAAGTCTAATTATTCTTCTGAACCCCTTTGCATATTAATATCTTTATCCCACAATATAGATAGGTTATGTATACACATAAATTTGTAAGTCATATGTCATAGGAAAAAAGGAGCATCCCCTGTGTACATGTTAGTGAAGTATGAAAAAGTTTGTGAATTTGCACACTTACTGTCAGAATAAAGCAGTGGGCAGCTGTGTCTGGATGATTACTTACAATTTCTAAGGTAGTTTGTTCTGGATCATCACAGATCCATGTATCTTATATAACTCTATGTAACCATAACTCTATGTACCTTGTATAACTCTATGTATTCCTATGTAACAGGTCAGGGGGAGGGTGCAAGGGTCAAGGGGCGGAGCTTCAAAGGCATCCCTGGACACTAGCCTGGCGTTAGTTCCTTTGTTCTTTGGCCATTCACATGCAGCCACACGGCTGCAGACTCCACGATCACCCCACCATGTGACGCTTGGGAGAAGAGGGGAAAATCTAATGTCAATTTACCTGTGGGACAACCAGATTGCTGAAACTTATTTTGGATGCACCTCTACAAACTGTAAGTCTTTGTCTAGAATTCCCAGAATAAAGCAATATTCCTGTTTGTTCTTCTGAGTTATCTATCTGTTAAAGACTGGAATAGAGCAAGTTTCCTGTCCAGAAATAGAATAGTAAATTGACAGATTAATTCTCCTCTGATCTCCTGCAATAGCAATTTGATGAGATTAATTTTCCTCTGATCTTCAAACTTTAAAGAAGTAAAGAAAAGTCTCTCTTACATGTGAAAGTAACTCAATGTTTCCAAGAACTGCCTGCAAAAGAAATGTCACTGTATCTGCTTGGCAGACAGTGTTTTAAAGAAGGTGTGATTCAGTGCATTGTATTGTTAATTTGCTGGTAAACTCTGCGAGCCATTAAGCCGCTTGCATGGATCTCCGTTCAGGAGAGGAAAGCAGTTGCCATAGAAACCCCCCTTCCCCCCTTCCTTGCCGGCAGTGAGAGAAGTGTTTCAGCAGACCGATTGCAAAAGAACTGTTTAGACTGCTTCTAAAGTTCAGGTCTTCACTGCCTGTCTCCCACCCTGCCTAATGCAACAAGGATTTAAAAACTAAATGTTTAAATCAACAAAGCAACTACAGATTGCTTCTCCTTCATGAGTTTGTATCCAAACCTGCCTTCATTGTCTGCAAGCCTAGTAACCAGGTTGTCAAGGAAGAAGGCAATTAAGCCATTAAGCTGCTCTCTCTCTCTGTCATAAAACCTCAATACTGGCGAAAGATGCTAAACTCCCTCCTCCCTTAGGAATGCCTGGAATTTCAACCGGTGTTAATAGAATAAGGAGGCAGGGGCAGAACCAGCCCCACTAGCAGGGCAGGAGTGCCCCCTGGTGGCCAATCTGCACGTGACACCTTGAAAAAAAAANTCCAGCCTGCAACTTAACGACCAGGTGGGAGTTCATGCCTCTCAGTGGCCTTTGCAGGTACGTGGTAATAGGAAGAATTTGGCTGACCTCTCTTCAGACGTCCCCTAGTGGTTAAAGGAGGAGCTGCACGCGAGCCTTTAATCACGCCCAGAGAAAGCCCTCTAGTGGACAAAGGGTGTACCTCGAAAGAAGATCACCCTGGTAGCTGATACGCAGATAGCGACCCCTAGTGGTCAAAAAGTGAAGTTCATCCAATTCCCTTCTAATTAGCTAGGAACCACAGGACAACGCTCCCAGTGGCTCCTCCACCTACAGACAGCACCCCTGAAGCTGATCTGCATGTAGCGACCCCTAGTGGTCAAACATAGAAGTTCATCTAATTCACTTCTAAACAGCTAAGCAGCGCAGGAGAACGCCCCCAGGCACCTCCACCCACAAACAGCACCCCTGAAGCTGATCTACAAGTAGCGACCCCTAGTGGTCAAAGAGAGAAGTTCTTCAAATTTGCTTCAAAATAGCTGAGAACAACACTGAACCTATCCTAACCATGGCGGAGTGTCCCGCTGATTTAGATGAAGGGGTTCAACCAACCAGCCTAGTTGGGACACCCCAACCAGACGGCCAAGGAGAAGCGCCGCAAACAGCCACCCTTGACCTGTACACAGAAGCTGAAGCTCAAGCCTCAGTAAGACCAAAGACGTCTCAAAGTCACTATGACCTGAGACAACAAAGAAAGCCAACTGAAGCCATGCATGCAAACCTGTTGGAGAAATGGAACACCGTGTACAAGCGCCATGAAAGATGCTGGGAGAAATGGCACAAACTCTACCTAGAGCAAAAGGAGAATCTCTCCCCCGAATGTGCTCACACACTAGTAGGAGATAAGGAAGACGCCTTCACACAATGGATGGACTCCGAACGGCAACTCAAGGACATCCAGCAGCAATTAAGAGACTCAGAAGTTGACCGTGACATGCAAAGTCTTCGGTTACTGAACGAAGAACGCAAGAAGCTTCTAGAGAGCCCACAATGCCCTCCAGAATGCGAGCCTCGCCCGAGAGACAGACCGGTTGACAGGGCAGAGTCTGAACTTTCCCGCCGTTCACACGCACCGTCCCAACGGTCGCACGTGGCTCCATCCCATGCGTCTGGAAGGGCATCATCCTTTCGCCACATATCCAAGGCACATTCCAGCGTGTCACAACAGTCTCATGTCACAGGCGCCTCCCGCCATTCAAAGGCTTCTTCTCGCCAGAGCCAAGCATCTTGAGCCTCAAGGGCAGAGAGCATTGCCGCCCGTCTTGCAGAAGCGCGAATCAATACCGCATTGGCTGGAGTTGCTGCCCAAGCAGCAGTAGAAGAAAAGCAGCAAAAGGAAGACTTGGTAAAAGCGGAGACTGCAGCAGCTCTACATGCAGCAGAAGCAGAACATCAGCATAAGGAAGATATGGTCAAAGCTCGGGCCAACTATGAGATTTCACAGCACCAACAGAAAGCAAAAGAGGCTGCCCAAATAGAAGCAATTCTGCAGAGAGAGATGGAAGACGTCACACCTACACACAGATTGGAAGGGCTAGGAAGAGAAAGCCCTCATAGACGTGTACAGGCCTACGTGGACAACCAAAGTGCATTTCAACGTGAACAGGTAAGACCACAGCCAGCCACAAGCCCCCCAAGACCGAGTAGACGAACGGAAGAATCTCAACGGCCAGATGTGCCAGTCAGCCACAGGGTTGATGTCGCCACAACTAGGCCACGAGATCTTCCCACTGTTGCTGCCCCATCGAACCACACCCTTGATGGCAATCGGATGGGACCACCAGCAACGGCCACGACTTCACAGCGGGGAGCGCAAGAAGATCTTTCCACCGTCGCTGCCCCATTGAACCCGCCGAACCATATC